ATCTACTGATTGGCTTTATCACTGTCTCCTCTCCACCAATAAGCTGGTGTGTGGTGGGTGTTCTATCACAATATGGCTGCCGTTGCATCATCCAGGTGGATGCTGCACATTGGTGGTGGTTGAGGAGCTTCCCCCCTTCCATGTAAAGCATTCGAGTACCCAGAAAAGTGCTATATAAATGTAACAAATTATTATTATTGTTATTATTATGTAGGGTTTACTCCACACATTTAAAAAAAAATAAAAAATAGAATACAGAGAGAGTTTCCTGATAAGACTAAGTACAAAGATGGAAGAGCTGTATTACTTGCATTTAAGGAGGACATCAATGCCGCTTTCAAATCATCCTTTCAGAAAATTCTTTATGATGAAGCTGTCATTCTATCCAAAACTGCCAAGATTGTATGTCGGGATATGCATCAGATGAAGGCAAAGTTCACTGCTTCATTTGAGCAAGACTGTCAAAAGACATCTGTACCCAAATCACTGCTGTCTCTGGTTGGTATGGTCCTTGATGGCCCTGACATCAAATCTCAATGTGAGGGTGTGTCTCAAGCTGTGCTCAGCATAGCTCAGCTTGTTCAGTTTAACAGCTGCGTGATTTACACAAGAACCCAAAGCGCAACCAGGAACGGGAAACTCCCTTACCAGTGTATGTGGGACTCAGTGTTCATGCCAAGACACAAAGAAAAGACCTTGTCGACACATTCTTTCAGCTAGGACTCTCAATTTCATAAGACAGAGTGATGGACATAATCACAGCATTGGGCAACCATGTCAGTGAGCTGTATCACAGAGAGCAAGTGGTGAGTCCAACCACATTGAGAGAAGGATTGTTCACAACAGCAGCAGTGGACAACATAGACCACAACCCTAGTTCTACATCTTCAACTGGCTCTTAAATCTGGCCATGTTTTATCATGCTATGAATGTCATCAATCAAGCAGTACAAAGGGTAAATCCAGCACAAGTACCTGTTGTCACTGTGGACCAGCCTCTGTACATCATAGCCAAACAAATACAGTGGAGTTGGCCTAATACACACGGAGAAGATAATTTTGTCAGTCTTAGGAGGATTACATATTGAGATGTCGGCATTTAAGACACTAGGAGACTGGATAGAAGGTAGTGGTTGGGTGGAAGCCCTTGTTCAAGCCAACATAGCAACCCAGGGAGTTGCAGAGTCCTTCTTGACAGCATCCCATGTCACACGGACAAGGCGTGCACATCAAGTACCTGCCAGTAGTCTCCACATCCTGATGACAAAAGCCTACAACCAGTACACTGAATCAAGACTACCTGCTGGTCCTCTTGTCACCACTGAAAACTGGTGTACCATGAGACAGCAAGAAAGTCCTCAGTTTCTGTTTTGGCACACTGCACTGCAGATGGAGCTCCTTGTCTTGTCATTTGTAAGATCCCTGCATGAGGCTGACTTCAATCTCTATTTGGATTGCATGTCGTGGCCTAATGGTTAGAGAGTCAGACTTGTGACCCGAAGGTTGAATGGAGTGAATAACCACCCTCGATACCACGACTGAGGTGAGACCCTTGAGCAAGGCACCGAACCCCCAACTGCACCCTGGGCGCCGCAGCAATATGGCTGCCCACTGCTCCGGTTGTGTGTTCATGTTTTGTGTCTGTTCACTACTGTGTGTGCACTTGGATGGGTTAAATGCAGAGCACAAATTCCGAATATGGAATACTTGGCCACACGTCACTTCACTTAAGACTCACTTAAGATGACAAAGCTTGTTCAATGGTGCTGTAGCCTTGACCTCACAAATTATGCACACTGGTTACTTGTTCATGTTAAAGACATGGCAGATCTTTCCAAAACCAATCCAGGTGTGGCAAAGGAATGTTTAGCAGGAAAATTCACAGTCTCAAAGAGTCAAGAAGTGTTTTCAGCAATGGCTATAGATCAAGAACATGAGCAAAGAACTGCTAAAGTGAAGGGAGATGGAGGAGCAGTTGGTATGATGCAAAACCAGGATTCCCTCTGTCGATGGACCATTGCTGGATCAGAAGACATGAAAACAAAACTTTTTCACTTTCTGGCCAGGAACCTTGTGGAAATGTCAACTACCAAACAAGTTGTTTCCACTTGCAGACCCAATGTTCTATTATCTCACCCACAAGAATAAGATCAGATGCTCCGGTACCGTCTTCCTAATGGCAAGAACTGGAAGAGATAATGGGAGGGATGGGTGGGGTCCTTCACGATACTGGTGGCTTTACTGGAGCATCGTGCAAGGAAAATATCCAGAATGGAGGGGAGAGGGGCACCGATGATCTTTGCAGCTGTGTTCACTGACTGTCCGCTGGTATTGCGGTCAGCAGCACTGCTGTTCCCGTACCAGACAGTGATACAGCTGGTCAGCATGCTCTCAATGGTTCCCCTGTAGAATGTAAAAAAATTTTTGTTTTTTTTGTTTGTTTTTTTAAACGTACAAAAAAATAAAAAATAAAAACATGGCGAAAAATGTTCGCCAGTTCCCGCCTCCTTCTTCCCCGATATACGAACATTGTTACAGCAAGAACTTCAGATACATACCTGCCCATGAGATTGCCAAGTCTCTGGGTCCTGACAAATCTAAAAGCCCTTCCTGTGTTCCATGCCTTCACTGGCTGAGACACAGTATCTGCATTTGCAACCAGGGGCAAGAAGACTGCATGGGATACCTGGAATGCATATGACATGGCAACACAGGCCTACGTGGCTCTGCCAAAGGCTCCAAAATCATTCTAGAGGAGGTCATTTCCATTGTGGAGTGCTTCACAATTCTCCTCTATGATCGCACCAGCAGCCAACTCAACATTGATCAAGCTCATCATGAGTTGTTCTCAAAGAAAGGAAGAGGAATGGAGCAAATCCCCCCAACTAAGGATGCACTGGTGCAGCACCACAACTGATTTTTACCTGCATTTTGAGGGTTGGCGGGTGTTAATTTCAAACAATGCTTACAATTTCTTGAGAGCATCATCGTCCCTACAAAATTGTCTGCTAAGAAGCTTACTGACAGAGGTCAATGCCAGCTATGATGACTTACTACTGCACATCAATGTCAGATGGCTCAGCAAAGGCAGGGTTTTGGAGCACTTTTAGCTATTCTGGAGGAGATCAAAGCCTTCCTATCAGAACAAAAGAATGAAAAGGCAACTCAGTTCATAGAGTTTTTGGAAGATGTGGAGAAGATCAAATAGCTGCATTTTTGGCAGACATGACATCACATCTTAATGAGCTCAATGTTAAACTGCAGGGACAAAATAACACAGTTTGTGATTTGATAACAACAGTCCATGCTTTCCAGAGGAAATTGAAGATTTTCAAGACTGATCTCCAAGGTGAACTTCTCCACTTCCCCAAACTTTTGTAGCAAACCCAGGGAGAGAAAGGTATGACCTACCATGCTAATTTCATACAAAAGCTGAAGGACAACTTCAAGGCTCGCTTTGATGATTTTGTACTTGGAGGACAACTGCTGCTGATCATACAGAACCCATTCCTGGTCACTAATGTCACTGAGTCAACCCTCTACAATGTGAGTAAATCACTCGCATATGCTACTAAATCTTCACTCTGGGCGACTAAATAATGTCTATCATTAGCCATTGGCTAATAAATTCTTATATTTTACTCACCAGTTCTGTGTGTTAGAGGCTAATTACAAGTTTAGCATAGATACATTTTCACTCGCCGAACACTCTAAGTGCTTAAGAGTTTCATTCTCCGTCAAGTGATTTGTGCTATTTTTCAATTCATCTCAATGGATGCGCAGCGCACCTGTATTTGACGCACCATAAACTCTAGTGTGAAGGTGCGCGACTCGTCGTTGCTTTGCTGATAGCGCCGTTTCTCACATGTGCAAAGAGAGAGAGCGAGAGTCTTACATATCACGCTGAATCGACATGCTACACGTAAACGATATTCTTTGTTGTATTTTCCTGTCAAAAAACAAAAGGTTCATTTAGAATTCTTCAGCTTTTAAGAACTGGTGTTCTCCAGTAGTGGGCGGAACTAATACGCAAACAGCAATCTCATTGGCTGGCTATTATCTATTTATCTATTACCGTCCCTGTTTTGATTTCAGCAAATCAGTTCGAGCGAACACTGACAGAGTGATTAATATTCATGATCCCAGCAGCTCATCAATCCTTAGTGCGTTATATTGTTAGTATTGTAGTAAAATTAGTAGTAGTGTTATCTTTTAATAGTAATTATTATTATCTTTTTTTTTTTTACAGAAACCCTGAATGACCAATAATATCTTAAGCATCACCATCAGTCCTAAGTTCAGTTAAAATTACAAATATGCATTCATACATGGTTAACAAGTTTTAGTTCTAATCACTAAAGTTCTATCATTAAATAGTGCTTAATTATCATAATATCATAATATAATTCTTGATTGACTGATTAAGAAGCAATGATTTAAGATGCTGTGTCATTTTACAAAGACAAGCTGATTTGGTGGAATCAAATACATACATACAATGAAAACTATTAAAAACAAATACTGAACCAGGCTTAGCAATGAAGTCCTTTACCACTGTCTTAGAATTGCACTTACACCTTTTTTTTTTTCAAAGTAGAAAAAAAGTGTAATTTTTCTCATTAGTCTGACTAGTGCATGCATGGAACAAAGTCTGTGGAGTCAGATTTTCTCCTCTATTGGACCTTCATTTGTTCTTCATAAAATGTACACTTAAGTTGTTATTATTATTATATATTCAGATAAGAGAAATGCACAATGCATGTGCAATTATGGCTTAACAGTGACCTAATCTATCATATCTTTCAATCTTTCCTCACTTCTAATATCTTATTGAAACACGTTTGTAATTTATCATTTAACTGAGATTTGAATCTTACTGTTGAATCTACAAGTTATTGGCCCATGTTGTAAAAAAAAAATCCAATGAACAAATTAAAGTGGTTTGAACGGCCCAGCACATTGTTGGAGGTGAGCATCCCTTCCTCCAGAAAATGATCAGACTCCTGCCACCTGAGCCATAAACTGTTCTCACTGCTACCATCAGGCAGACTGTACCGTAGTATCAGGACCCGCACCAGCAGACTGTGAGATAGCTTCTTCTCACAGGCCATCAGACTGCTGAACTCTAACCAATAACTACATTAGGCTACATAATTTCTCTTCTGCACTCTAAAAACTATTTGCGCTAAACATCACATCACATCAACTGCTCTCTATAACAAAAGACCAATATTATACTTCACAGTGATTACTGCAACTGCATTCTTCCTATGTATACTGCATTTTTCCTATGTATGCTGTGTATTCCTTGTGTATATTCTGTGTATATAGTATATACTGTCTATTTTGTAAAATGTGTATTCACAGCTGGTACACTTGTGTACACGGTGTGACAATAAAGATATTTGATTTAATTTGATAGTGACATGATTTATATATACTGTCAACATTCCAACGTCCCATGTGACCATGTTTGGGGGGAAAAAATCAGACTAGTTCAGCTAATGCTTATCCATATTTTAAAGTCTCATGAGGGAATCGGTTAATCTGCAAGGTGATTGCTCTTTTACCTGTAGGCCAGACTTGATTTTAAAAAATCGCTTTAAAAAGAGATATTAGTAATGTGTTTAATGTGCATAAAAAGGAAAGAATGTTTTAGAAAACATTCTGCTTTACAATACGCTACTTTGTATTTTATTTTTTATTTATATAACCTAATATTTATAATACTATACATTTTAATATCCACCATGAAAATGCAAGACAGTTTAAAACTCTAATAATTACAGAAACATGACATACCTAAACTACAATATATTCAGTATATACAGAGAAGCATCATTTCATAATGCATATAAAGCAATTGGTCTATGAAATTGTATGTAGGAAATATTTAAATACAATGCAAAAATCTAAGTCTTTTCAGTTCTGATATTAATGTTGCTGCTGTTCCTCCTGCTGCTGCTAATGCAGTTACTACTGCTAATCTAATCAATGACTACGTTTACATGCACCCTCATAATGCGATTCTACTGGGATTTCAGCAATATTGCAATTAAACTTTACCTAATGTAAATGCAATTCTTTGATCAAAATAATGTGATTAAGCTCATAATCATTGTAACCATAACTGCATTAAAACTGTGGCTTATGGTAATTTTAATCGCAATAAACAGGCATTGTAAACACCTTAATCACATTATTATCGTTCTGACCAAAGTGTTCATGTGCTCGGACATACACAAATAATGTTTGTTGTTCATACAACTTTGTGAATGAACTCCTTGACATTATTCCCAAGCAGGCTCGGTTCTATAGGAGTCAAGCGAAAGCAAGAGCACTCTCAGTTGAAGCTGTAAAAATCTGATATTGGCGAATCAGATCTGGCAAAAGATCCAGTGAGTTTGCACACAAAGAGCTTCAAAGGGTTATAATTACAACATGTTTTGCAGCGTTACCGACGGAGTCAATCAGACAAATACGTATGTTCATTTCTTGAACACAGCCAATCAGAGACAATCCAGCTACAATCCACTCGTTGCTCAAAATGCTGGAGTTTTTGTTGAGTGCTGAGTTATGCAAGCTTGTCAATCCTCTCATTATAAAGAAACATATACACAAAGTAAATAATAGATTCATTGTGAGGTATAGAGAGATACATAATTATAATGGAACTTTGTGAAATTATGATATTGGTTATTAGGCACTGCAGTGAATATCACATTATGTCTATAGACATGTATTGCATTTGATGTAAGTGGACAGTGGGCAGTAACTCGCCTGCTGTATGTGAGTTCATCATTTGTGCTGTGGGTATGTGATTTATGGTGAAAAAATAACCACACTTCTTAGCAAATAATAAGAATAATGAAAATTGCATGTAAACGGGAGTGAAGAGGTTTACTTGTGTCATGTAAACATCTTAATGTGTATAAGTCTTTACTCTGATTATTGGAAATAATCACATTATTGGTGCACATGTAAGCGTAGTGAATATGGCTACATTTCCTGCTGCTGATGTTAATGCTGCTTCATCTGTAGATCTCTCTGTTGCTGCTGCTGTTCCTCCTGTTACTATTGCAACTCGTGCTTTAGCTGTTCCTCCTGATGCTCCTCCAGCTACTACACCTTCTGTTTATACTGTAGGAGCTTCTTTTCCAGCTGCTGCTTTTCATTTTCCTTCTGTTGGAGATCATTTTTCAGCTTCCGCTTCTCCTGTTCATTCTGTAAGCATTCCTTTTCCAGCTTCTGCTTCTCCTGTTCATTCTGTTCAAGCTCCTTTATTAACTGATGCTTCTCCTGTTTCATCCGTAGCAGCTCATTTTTTAGCTCCAACTCCTCTTGTTCCTTATCTAGCAGCTTCTTTTTTATCTGATGCTTCTCCTGTTCCTTCTGTATTAGCTCATATTTTAGCTGCAACTCCTCTTGTTACTTCTGTATTAGCTGCTTTTTTAGGGGATGCTTCTCCTGTTCTTTCTGTTGGAGCTCATGTTCTAGCTCTAGCTGCTTCTCTTCTGTCTGTAGTTCATTTTTCAGTTGCTTTTCCCTTTCATTCAGTAGGAGCTCATTTCTCAACTGCTTCTCCTCTTGTAACTTGTTTTTCAGGTCCTCATCCTCTACCTTTTGTGAGAGCTCATTTCTCAGCTGCTTCTCCTTTTTTCCCTTCTCTTCTATCTTGTTTTTCAGGTCCTTCTCATCCTCTTCCTTTTGTGAAAGCTCATTTTTCAGCTGATTCTCTTCTTGTTCCTTCTCTTCTATCTTGATTTTCATGTCCTTCTCATCCTCTACCTTTTGTGAAAGCTCATTTCTCAGCTGATTTTCCTCTTTTTCCTTCTTCTGAATCTTCTCTTTCAGTGTCTGCTCCTCTTGTTCTTTCTGTAGGAGATCTAGTTTAAGATGCTGCTCCCTCTGTTCATTCTCTCGGAGCTCATTTTTAAATTGATGCACCTCGTTTGTCATCTGTAGGATGATATTTTTCAGTTTCTTTTCCTCCTTTTGAAGCCTATTGTTCCACTGCTGTGCTCCAAGAAAAATAACTCCTATCACTATGATAACGCTCAAAATATGTGTAATGTTTAACTTCATTCCGCTTTTCCCTGTAATCTCTGTCTGGATTGCTCTGAACATCTCAGGAGTGTAATGCCTCATTCCATTTGCTCTCCTCAATGCATTGATCTTCAGCAGCAGTTCTGTGATCTGATGTTGATTGGTTCTCTCTTCATTGTTGAATGAGTGATATCTGCCACCACAACTATCAACTATTTTTGGTAAATAGTGGCTTTTCCTGACGTACTCCTCTAAAGATTTACCCTTCAGCAGATCAGTGTAAGTAAACAGAATGATGGTACGAAGCAAAGCCTCTTTTCCAAAGTTCTCCTGAATCCATTGCACTGAGTTCCTCTCTTCTTCTGTGAATCTAACCCCCAGTTTGATCACCATCAGGAACACATGAGGACCAGGAGCAGACATCTCTACACACCTCTCTATTTCAGCCTTTACTTGCTCTTTTGTGATAGATGCATTGAATAGTCCTGGAGTGTCAAATACAACAATGTTCTTCCCATCCACGTATCCTTCCTGTTTCTCACATATTTCACTGGTCTCTTTAAATGCATTTCTGCCCAGGATTGTGTTTCCTGTTGCAGTTTTTCCTGCTCCAGTTTTACCCAGGAGAATAATCCTTAGATCACCTTCTGGCAAATAAAAAAATAAGAAAAAGAATAATAATAAATTATTTATATATAACCTCAACCCTCTCTGGCCTCAGGTATTAACAGTAAGTTGGCCTTTTTTACTGTGAAGCCAATCATAAAGGTTAAAGGTTGTCATTAAATGTGTTGAAGAACATGAAAACTCTGATCTGATCTTACAAATTGTGTCTGTAGTAAGCATATATGTAGTCATTTCAATTTGCTGTACATGTATATGAATTGTCTTAGTTTACTTACAACTACTGAAAAAAATATTAATTATATTGTATGCTTATTTGGCCCACAATTTGTGTGCTTGCTGAAGCGTAAATAGCTGCTCAATATGCTGTATATTTTTATTCTGAATATGTTCAAAGTTTTATGTTGAATTGAGAGTATAATCAAGACTATTGCTATTACTATTATTTTAGAAGAAGCATGTCTTCTCGCTGTTTAAATGTTTAAACAAACTGACCTTTTCCTGAAGTCATTATTATTGTTCGAATTTCCTACGTTGTTTCACTCAGGTGTTCTCTCTCTGAACGTCTTTCAGACAGAATGAAACTGCCAGAGCTTCTTGTTGTGATAGTGAAAGTCCTTCTGTCGTGTCAGTCACTAGTGATCATGTGACTGCCTCTCTCAGGTCTTTGTAAACTCACATCAGCCACTTGAGGACACTATATACCAGCACTGAGCAAAAGAGATCTAAGGTCTGATACACTCAGCTAAACTTGTAGCTTATATTAGTAATTATTATTAGTAGTAAGTATATATAGTAATAACACATATATTGTACAATTAATTTAAAATGAACGTTTTCCATAGGCTGAAAACTATGGTAATAATAAATGGGTTATGGTTTACTAATGAATTAAGCAACACAGCAGGTACGCTTTTTCATGTTGCACACGTTGATATATTATTCTTAAAGCTTTAAAATGTTGAATTAAAGTTAGTATATAAATAAAGACAATTTATTATTACATACCATTTTGTTGGCCTGATTCAAACATGCTCTTTTAGTGTCTGTAGCTTTAAATGCCAATAAGCTGCTGCTCTCCACAGCCCTTTCTGCTGAATCCATCTATAGCATCCGGCTGTAGCCCCGCAGTGCCACACGTTTCAGGACACACGAACCAGACCACTTGTTTTAAGCTGGAAGTGAGAGGCAGAGTAATTAAAATGTAACAATATGGTGGAGAGCATGGTTGTCTGTAATGTTTCTGCCATTATGGGGTGAACAATTAATTTCACAGAGAGTCCCCCAGCAACAAGGATACAACTGTTTATATACGAAAGGTTCATTACATCATTCTCCTCTGATATCATTGGTTCTCTTATGTGGAAAATTAAATTTTGGTCAAAATATTTTTATGTTTTGATGTTTTAAAAATCATAGCTTTATCACAGTGGTACAAAACTTGGTGACTTTTATGGAGAGGTGGAGGTAATGAATTACAACTACTCACGTTACTGTAATTAAGTAGTTTTTTCGGCTACTTGTACTTTTATGAGTATATTTTTAAAGCTGTACTTGTACTTAAGTACAAATTAAGCAAAATAATCTACTTTGTTACTTTTAAATCATAGTTCGTTACTGAGTAGGCCCGCAATTTGAATTAATATTCAAACCTTTGACGGCACTTCAGTAGCCAATAAAGATATCCGAAAGTAAAGGGACCAATAAAAGCCCAGATATCTGAACCGGGAAAAGCTGCCGCTGAAGCAGGGTTGAAGATCTGATCGGACTGCGAGGGAGCTCAGCGTAATTTATGGACTCAAAGTTTGGAGAAACAAACTACATGGTAGTGTTATCATAAATATCTATATTTTGATACCGATAGTGAAATATCTGACACTGTTCCTTTACTCATTTTCCACAGTATCTACCGAATATGCACAGATACAAGCTGCGTCTCTCTGTCCTTTCCAACAGTGAGTTTAACACGCATCCACCTCCTGTCAGTTACGGAGGTTGAATATCCGTGCGGGATTGCAGGTATTCTGCATAATTTTTATCATTCCCGTGCAAATGTGGCGATCGCTTTATTGTAACATGAGAACACAGTCATGTAATCGAAGAAAACTGGATGCGAGCTCTCAAATAGGCCTAACTTATACAAATTAACTTCTTGTGCGCACTCAGACTGTGTGAAATCACGATCTCTCTGTGCTTTTAAAGTAGAAAGTATTTCTCTTTGCTCCTGGATTAAACTTTGTCAAAAGTTATCAACCATTTAGAATAGATCCATGACTGACCAATGAAAATGCTACTAGAAATTGTATTGGCTGTAAGTGGAATGCACATTCAATCACCAGCGATGACAGAGAGTGTGTGTGCTATTCTTATAGTCCTACTAATGTGAGACAGCTGTGAACTGATGATGAGATCTGATGAGAGACAGGTGATGCACTTGATGAGTCCGGGCAAAGGATTATGGGAAATGGAGTCCTGAGTGAAAC